CCATTTCTGTTGCAAAAATCTGTCGTACTAATATCTTGCCAATATTATAAATGCGAAAGTTTAGATGGATGGATGTTTGTTAGAGTTTGTAGCCTAAACGGCTGAACAGATCTCGATGAAATTTGACACAGACGTAGACGTGGACCTAGTTGAAGGCGAAAGCTAGTAATATAAATAACTAGCTTTCGCCCGCGGCTTCGTCCTCGTGGAAGTAAAAAAAACAAAAGTAAGTAGCCTATGTGTTCTTTCAGACTAACCGCTACATCCATACCAAGTTTCATCGAAATCCGTTCAGCCGTCTAGGCTACAAATCTAAACTTTCGCATTTATATTAGTATGATTTACTTATTACTAGGCAAGATAATTTTTTTCTACAGTCCACTATTAAAATAAGAGAACACAAGAGGAAAAAACCACAAATATCATTTTATTCTAGGCGTTATTTAAACAAATGAATAAACAATATTTATTGGCTCATGATTTTTTTATCCAAGGAATGTTGTGTTTACTTTTTGGTATACGAATTGTGCGCCCACACGTTACGTTTTTTGCGATCGATATTTTGATTAATGATTGTCACGCTTTGTGTTGTGTTTTATCGTCCGGGTCATCCCTTTTTGACGTTCGTGAGATCGTTTTTTGCAAGAACCTATATTCGAGATAACAAAAAACGACTATTTTTGTACAAAACCACATCTGCAGTTTAGATACAATTTACGACGTAAATGCGAGTTTAAAAATTGAACACACCACAAAGTTTTTTACAAAGAATTAAAGAGTAGTTCGAAAGTAACCCGACACGGGACATAAAATGCAATATAAATGACAATGTAAAATAATTCACAATACCCTTAAGTACCTTGACGAATGACTTCGAAGATATACATTTGCAATTTGTGAAATTCATACTAACTCCATTCAAAGTATGAACTTCAAACCGTTTAATGCATTCAGTCTATTAAACGAAATCAAATCTTATCACCTTAGGAAAAAGGTTTAAAATACTATAGTGCAATTATATCATAAATAGTGTTCGCAATTGTCACACTCAATATATGTATAGTTGCAAAGCGGAGTACAATAAAGAAATAATGGAATCATTTGACACGATCTCTCAAAATATTGAACCAGTCAATGCACGATTTTCGCAAGTCTATGTCATAAGCGACAGCGGGTATTATAGCAAGGTCGTATTCATCGAGAGATTTTTATTACTTTAATTCCATTTAAATTGCAAATTGTGAGCAAACTTACCCAGTGGTAATTGACCGTTATTAAAAATAATTTGACTTATCAGCTAGTAGTAAATAGAGTAAGCCAGTGTTAACATATGTGTTGGTTTATTTAGTGTAATGTAATACATAGTTTCGATCTTCCCCCCGCTTCATATTACAACTTGTGCCCAACTATGTGATAGTATTGCGACAATAAAATGTTAAGTGGGGGGTCCAAAAGGACCCCAAATCGCGTTTGAACAAAAACGTGTCAATATTTTGAACAATGTTTTCGATGGCTTTGTGGCCACTGAAGATAAATTACTATTCCTATTCTTCTATAATATACCATAATTTGTAGAAATTATTGCTTTTGGTCAAAAACTTATGGATAAGACTACTATTTTCAATATTACAATGTGCAAAATAATATAAGTGTTATTCAATACTTTAGTTTATACTATTTTAAAACATCATTCCTATTTAAAGAATGTTTTATCACGTTAATGAAATGTGTAAGAATATTTTTTTATTTTTATTTAAATAAATTACCTTATATTAATTTCTTCATTTATTTCTATAAGGAAATGACTCAGTTCAAATAGTTAGTCAGTACATTAATTTATTCCATCTTTTAGCAGATTATTTACTTACATATTTATAACTGTACACAAGTTTATACATTATTATTACTTTAGTCTTTATGTCTATATAGATAGATATAGCTTAAAAATAGTTTGTGTCAAGTATCAGCGACGATGACGTCATTAGTTTTACTTTTAACACGACTTGAATATATTTTGATTAAAAAACACCCGGATATTTAAAGTGTGAACTAAAAGAACGACCACGTTGACAGTGCATGTTGAAGATTTTCCTTAACATGACATGCGAACATCACCTTTATAATTTACTGTTGACAGCTCGTTAGACACGTCTCAGTGTCTGAGGCGCGACTTAGTAATTGGGAGTGTTACTTATCATCTCAGGGCTAAGCAATGACTGACAAGTGGATAACCTGTTCTGGTATACACAAGGTGCATAATTTTTAATTTAAGTAGCTACAGCCTTGAGATATCAGAGTTTTTTTTAAAGTAAAATGTTTGTGTCGAAATTAATTTGTCAGAATTACATGTTTAATTTAATCGATAAAACTCCCATTACAATGTCCTTAAACAGATGGATAATTTCAAGCAGAAGCGTTTTAATTGTTCGTCTTTTTACAAAAATAAAATTGGAATCATTTTCAAAAATCCATATTATTCTTTCGTCACCCTCGCTACTGTCTCCAAAGCGCATCGTAAACAAAGTGTACGCCGTCACCGCCTACCGAATATCCAGTGTATTGTTGCTGAGCATCTGTTTATAACAAAACGTGTGGGCACTAACGACCCGAAATGTGTTACTCCAAACTACCCGCCGATCTCCCAGGTGCCGATGTTATCTACCACGTTGATGTTTGAGTTTTTATTATCATTGATACATCTATAAAGATCGTTCAAAACAATATTTTATTTACTATAAGTTCGAACATTAAATGCTTTTTCCAATCCCAATAAATTTATATACGTATGTTTTAGAACGAATTTCTTACGCGAAAAGAGCATATATCTTTATGTTATTTAGGAATGTGATTTTCAATGTTCAAATGCATGTGTGTAATAATTATGTTAGTGACTTTAAAGGTTTTAATATGAGTAAAATAAAAAGGTAGAAGGAATAAATTTAACAAATCAATTAGCAACAGATAACGATTATAAAAAAGAGCAGACATATTCAAAATTTTAAAATAATAACAAAAAACACAACTGAAAAGATCCATGCACAAAATTGACTTGGCATCTGCTGACAGTACAAATAAAACAATAACGAACAAGCTTTAGGATCAATCTTGAGTTTTCAATTAAAATTTAATTGAAAAGGCAAATCTGGCTAAGTTGAGCACAGGTAGTGTACGTCCCAACAATTTAGTCACAGAGTATAAAGAATATGAACTTAGTTCGTTCGAGAAACAGTAGGTGATAAATTCCCCGTTTCTTACTCTCGCTATTGTCAATTTTGTATTGAGGACGGACCATTGTTGGACGGCAGTTCGATTTTGCTCGGATTTGTTAGCGTGCGGTCCATTGTATGAGCGACCAAGAAACATCTATTTTACGTAAATGAAAAAAAATAATACATTTTTTTCAGTTTGTAAATAAAATTACAATTTGACCAATATACAATTTTTTATACAATAGTGAGGATATTCTAAAAATATCAGTAATAACTAAAATAATACTATATTACCCTCTATTTTTTTCATGTGGCGATATTAATATCTTCAACCATGAATTCTATTCTTACACTTATTACTTTCTTTTTTCTTATTTATTGCAGTATACTTTAAACTTTTTATCTACACTAAGCTAAAAATTGGATAGAACATACTTTCAATGTAACATTCTCGATAATCGCTTCCGCTTATAACTTGTGATGGCAATACATTGGGTGTTCGACTTTACTCGAGTTCTATACGGTGAGCAACAATGCGACTTCGTTAGGCGGGCATCGCTTCACATAGGTTTTTGTACTGCACGTTACGCCTAGAGATAATCTTAAGCGGCCGACATTTATGTACCATTAATCAATATCATTATGAACTTATATTGGTTTTACAAAAACCATACAGTTCCGAGACATTTGCGTCTATAGCTTCGCAGATATTGAACACATTTCCTAGATTGAGTATAACTGTATTACGTTACTGAATCTATACTTAATGTTATAAAGTGGAAAGATTTGTATTACTCAAAAACTACTGGTCAGATTTAAAAAATATCTCTAAAGAGTTACGCCATCTCTGAATAAGGCCATATTTTTAACAATTTTCAATTTCGCGTAGACGAAGTCGCGAGCAACAGCGATATAAGCTTTATAAAAAAGTGTTTTGTATGTATTTTAAAAATGTATTATTTGATCTTGAAATAATTGAACTTATAATACAATGTTAATTTATCTGGTTTCTGTTTATAATAGCGGATACCAATGCGGATAATATTCTCAGAAGTGTACAATTTTGGCGTGTGGGCGTCACATTTCAATCTCTCGAAATTATTGTAGCTGTAACAATTTTAACATGCATTCTAAAACTATTTGTATAAAAAATTAAAGTAATAAATTATTGGATAATTTAATTTATATCTATGTAAATAGTATGTGAAAATTTCATCTTTTAAGATAAATCTTTTGTACAGACTATTTTGAAGTTTTGAAAACTAATACCAAGGCAATATTTTAATACAAGGAATTATTTTGTACGTATTTTTTTTAGTGAAAACATTATTAGATTTTGTTAATTTACTTGTGCTTGAGCTAGGATATGGTTCACGACAATAGTCGAATGGTGAGATTCGAACCCTCGACCGCAAGGTCGATAGTCCGTACCCCAAACCATTAAACTTTGGCGCTTAAAACCGAACATAGTAATTCTTATCTCATATTATAATCCATGTTTTCAAGCATGTAAAAATATTCAATACGTGTCTTATCTCAAGTTGGTTTTTTACTGAGGGTATATTGGTAAAACATCGATGCAAGAAAATTATGACTACCCTACAATAAAAACTGTAAGATTTTTAGTAAATGTAACAGATGTCGTTATTATTAATTTTAATATAAATGTTATTCTTAAAAGCAAAAATTGCGTAATGTTTTAATTTATTTATATATTAATTTGGTAGTTAATATTAAGTTGCGATAATAAAATCTTTATTTAAAATAATTGATTTTATAGTTAGCAAAATGCAGCAGAGCGTGGTTTTGATCCACGAACCGCTGGGGCAACAGCCCAGTGCGCTTCCATTGCGACACTCTGCTTATCATTTACATATATGTAATTAGAAAGTACATAGAATACCACCAACACCAATCTTACTATATCTATACTAATATTATAAAGAAGATAGATTTGTATTTTTGTAATTGAAATAACTCAAAAACTACTGGGCCAATTTCAAACATTCTTGCACTAACAAAAAGCTACGTTATCAGAGAGTAACATAGGGTATTTTTATGACTTTGTAATTTAACGCGTATGAAAACGAGAAAACGCTAGTATATAATAAATGCAAAAGTTTAAATGGATGGATATTTCTTAGACTGTGTAGCCTAAACGTCTGAACGGATCTGGATGAAATTTGGCATAGATATTTCACTCGTATGGAGTCGCGGGGGAAAGCTAGTTGATAATAATTTACCTATTTGTTATGACAATTTTGTAATAATCAAATTCGATACACATTTGTGTTATAACCTTGGCCCAGTAATGATTTATTCGCCTTGAAATTTATTACCTTAACTCTAGCTTTTCAATGGTATAACACTGTTTCTCAGGCCATAGTATCAAGGATTTATTAAGCATGTTGTAAGTGAATTCTTATGTTAATAAGGATAATATATCAGTACCCAGATGTACGAACAAATAGGCAATTACTAAGACCCTTGTTGACGTAACTATGGATATACGAGCGGTTGCCCGCGACTTCGTCCGCGTGGTATTAGAAAACATACAAACTGTATAAATTACAAAAAGCTACGTATCACTCGGAAACCGGACATTTCTCGGGGATGAACCTTATCCCATGTGTACTCCGGATTTTGTTTTATATCTGTGCCAAATTTCAATAAGATATGTTGAACTGTTGCAGAATGATCGAGTAAACATTAAAAAACTAAATTAATGAATCCCTCAGGACCCGTAACTATTCTCGGGATAAAAAGTAGCCTATGTGTTCTTCCAGACTATGCTCTAAACCTGTTCCAAATTTAATGGAGATCCGTTCAGCCGTTTAGGCTACAAACGCTAACAAACATCCATCCATCCATCCATCTAAACTTTGGCATTTATAATATTAGTAAGATTTTTAAACAAAACAATTGACAGTACTGTCTGAAATTGACAATTTAAACTATTGCGTGTATTAGAACGAAATATCCATAAGTAGCCGTTGCCAGCGACTTCCGCGCGGAAATAAAAAATTGACTATATGTTCTTCCAGAACATTTTCTATAACTTTGCCGTTTTAAACGCGAATATAGCGGTTCTGAAGATAGTAACAAACATCCATCCATTTAAACATTCACATTTGTATTAGTAAGAAGTGTATGTTATGTTTCGTTTGTCCACAAAAAGTGATAATTTTTTATGCTTGTAAATTTACTCAATGAATAGCAAACAAAGTACGTTATATTGGAATTTTTTAGTATGTTATACCACCCTTTTCTCTAGATCCAGCCTGTTACTAATATTTAAGTATAGATTAAATGTCACAGTTCACCTTTCTGCGTTTAAAATGCTATAAAAGTCGAATTTATCAATTATTTTGTAATTTAAGGGGCGTAACAAACATGTGAAAAGATTTGTCGCGCCCAAAACACAATAACGGCACTTTAAAGTACTCAATTGTTACAATTCTGTACAAAACCTTATTTATGAACTGCGAAGAAGTATATTAACAAATTTAAAAATTTCACCCAAATGATTTACAGCAGTACTTAACTCATTGGGATAAAGTTCATTTTCGCATAAACTTTACAACACAACGGAAGCATTTGAAATGCTATTGAAGTACCTTTGGTTTGCTTACGCTTCATAAATAAAATTATCAAACAAATGCTCTACAAAACGCTCCCTACTCCACTTAACCTATAAACGACGAGGGGTAAAAATATTTTGACATTCATTTGGTTCAAAGCCAAAGATATCAACAACTAGATGTGTCACAACGAGTTAAGTAATTTTGACGACTTGAAAACTCTTTAACTGCCTATTATATTACATTTTTAATCATTCCGTAGATATTTTAAAATTTAAGATTGTTTTAAATTTAACAATTCTTTAAATTTTAAGATTTGAAAATTTTTATGAAAACAATGAAGAAAAAAAAAACAAAAACTCGTAAATTTTATGATTTAAAACTGTTAATTTAAATAATTATATTTGGAAGTACATTTAATATTTTGAATTATAAAATCTACAATCCTCGAATTGCTAAAATAAATCGTTTAAATTATGCTCATGTTAAATACTATGACTCCGATGTCCGAATGACTCCGAATGACTCCGTCCGCGTGGAATTAAAAAACCAAAAGTGTGTAGCCTATGTGTTCTTCCAGGCTAAATTTCTTCGAGATCTGTTTAGCCGATTAGGCAACAAACTCTAACAAACATCCACCCATCTAAACTTTCACATTTATAATATTAGTAAAAAGTAAGATGAACTGACACTTCTAGTATTTACCATAAATATTTCTTAATGTGATCATTGACATAAATCTTAGCACATCGTCGACTTTAAATACAATATAGTATGAATGTAATACACAAAGCAATGATTTGTTGACGACCAGAACCATAAATAATGGAATGTATAGATTCGTTATTGGTCGAGAAAAAAATCTTTATTTATTAGGGGTCACTTACTGGGAACTGGAGATAAGATCGGGAGATTAAAGTGAAATAGACAATTTCATCGCCATACTGTACGTATAACTTAATAAATTTTATTTTTAGTAAGTTGCGTAACTTATTTCATCACCATACGACCCTACTAAAGGGCTCGGAACCTGATCTAAGTTAGGGTGACTAGACCATAGGCAACCATGTTAGTTTACTGCGGGATGGTTGACGTCACAAATCTTTAAATTTCTTTGCCGGTTGCATCAAGTTTTTCTTTGCCGTAACTTGCTTATCTTTGAAGAAAGTAATAAATCTTTTTTTTTAATGGAAATTTAGATTTGTGACGTCACTTATCCAAGCGAACCCATATAGCGTGTTAGCCTAATTTAGGGACTATTTTACAGTCCAAATATATTGATAATTAAGAACAAAAAATACTCATTACAGCATCTTAATCCATCGTTCATATAGAAATAATTGAGATTGATAAGCAAATTCTTTCACAGACTATTGCCGACTGACGTTATGAGGTATAATGTAACTTGTCACATGGCGAGTATTTAAATAGTACATAGTATTTCAGCGAGATCAGAAAGCAACGTCCCACTCGATTAAATTGTTTTACCTCATAACATCAATCAATCCTTAACGAGTGACTTTTTGGTGTTATTGAATAGAAGACATCAATAACAAACCATATAATTCCAGTCAGTTACTTTACTGTCGGCTCAGTGGTTTAAGCACTTGACTTGTAATCTACAGGTCTTGGATCCGAATCCCGCCGTACCAATGTGATTTTCGATTATTCGAAATTTCATAAGTATAAAATTTACCCGACGTTCTTACGTTGAAGAGATCGTGATGCAACCTGCACATATCGGCGAAGAAATTCAAAGATATGTGTAAGTCAACCAACCCGCAGTGCAGCATGGTTGACTATGACCTGGTCACCCTAATGTAATGTAGGCTCCGAACCCTTCAGTGGGGTCATAGTGAGCTGGTCATGATGACTTTACTGTCATCATATACGTAAACATCAACGAGCGTACAAACTATATCATAACTTAACTGCCTGTCCTATTATCATTGACCTAAATCAAATTTCAGTAGCATGTAAATTTCTAATACGATTTCGTTCGCTACCATTCTAAGCTTATTCAAGTACCAGAGCATTACTCGTGTCAAATTATGCAAATCGCTAGCTGAGTCTGATAGCGTAAGATATACGTACTGTGTGATACAAAGACGTGGGGCCATTGTCGTACGGTGACTAACAATGCTCTACACAAACGGTTGTAGACTATACTAAAGACTAACGAGGTATTTAAATGTAATGCCATTTTACTCATTGAAAGATCAAAGGATTAAAATCAAAAACATCATGTAAATACAAACCTATAATTTAATTGTACAATAAAATAAAAACGTTTTGGATTAGTTGTTGCACAATAAATTGTGCATCTATTAATGCAAGAACGTGATTAAATACTAGAACATATATCAAGACAGAGTTTAGATTAGTTTGAACAATAATATGTCTCTAATTGTTACAAAGAACTTATTGTTTTTTCGCGTTAAATCTATATTAAGAAAATTTGTTGTTTGTATGCTCGTTTGTTCAGTAAATAGTTAAAGTGTTTCTCTGTACGCGTTTTAATCTATGTGTCATTACCAATTCAATATTAATAATTTATCTGGAGCCAGCGTGGGTGTCGGCTGGTAGACAATGCAAACTAAACGCCATTGCTGTTTTTTATTAAGGTGTCAGTGTTGTAACTGCATTCGTCAATGTTACCGCGTTTGACGAATATTTGAACAATAAGTACACTTACAAAGTAGGGCAAATGTTAACAAAATTATTTTAAACTAGCATTTAAATAGATCTTTTAATTACAATAATATAGCACGTCTGGAACTATTACTCTCGTAAAATGATTCCACGTTAATATCCATATCAACAGAAATACATTTTTATAGTAACAAAGAGAAAAGAGCAAGCGGCTACTGGAATTAGCTAAAATGGTAAAGCGTCCGCTACCTACAGACATCATTTGCAGATGCATTGAGATTGATGCGTGATGCATTGATGATTGAACAGAGAAGGACAAAGAGAGACGATACTTCATATGCGTCTCATCCCCCGGAATATTCGGTTCTTCTTTCACTTTCTTTGTATATACCGATGGGAAAGGGAAGAGAAGTAATTAGCCTAATACCAAAAGGAATTAAATAAAGCGAGTTAGTCTGTAGAGATGACCAACTAAAGCTTCAAATAACTTTTCATTTATTGCGGTCATCGATTGAGCCCTAGTAAATAATTTCTGAACCCATTTCTGCGCCTTGCAGCGTTTTACTAACGCAGTAAATCACATACAGATAATTGATAGGGAATTATTCATAAGCGAGCTCCGAGGCGATT